TTTCTTGCAGATATGAGTCCTGCTGCTTTCTTGATGTCCTTCTGTGGTCCTGTGTAGCTCTCCTTGTGTCTCATAGCTTCTCCTCCGCACCACTGAGAGTGTGCCGGCAGACACAGCAACCCTTCCTTGACAGCATGTCACAGGAAGGGTTGGTTCGGATGCATGACAGCGTGTATCCTGGAAGAGGAGTTGGACTATCTGTGCAACCTGAAGAGTGGATTAGCATCTCAGGCTAGAGGCAGAAACAATAACACAAGCAAAAACAATAAAAGGAATAAGGTCTGCGGCCTGCAAAACATCCCCTCTGTGGATGGTTGTCTTGCTGTCGTCTCTCCAGTGCACCTGCTGTCTGTTCGATTTGAAAAGCAACTGAAATGGATTCAGTGGTTTTTGCTTCTTTATTGGACAGACTAATATCCCTGAAGAACGCCTGACTTTGCGTATACTGTGATGATCGAGTGCTTTTTACGAGCGTATAATGAAGGTGTGAACACAAGAGCCAAATTTAGACACCACAATAACAGCAAACTCGAACTAAGAATCCAAATTCCTGAATACCACAAAACCCACAAATAACCCACCATCAGGCCGACCACGGATTTACTCATGTGTGCAGCCTCAACCTTGAAAGATTCACATTTGAAGTTTGAAGGGGGTGATGGTCACCGTGACTCATTTTTATCATTCTGAGACGATAATGGAAACTTCAGACCCCCCCCTCCTGCAGCCTGCCCACACTTCCATGGTTATTCCACTTCCTGCTCTTTTCATTGCTGGTTTGAACATATGTACACGTTTCTGACTATGTTCTGTTTGTTTATGTTGACATGAAAAAAAGTTCCACCTTAGAGTCTCAGACCTTACGCCTTTTCACTTTCCACTTGGAAACAAACTAAGCTCTTCGGCTTAGCTATTCATCTGGGTAGACATGCAACCATAAAAGGTCCCACATCCTATTTCACAGTAACTGTCACTTACTGCCATCTCTATCGTGCAGTTAACACGTGGGATTCTTGATTCCCCAGCTACAGGAAACTCTCTATCTGTTAATGCCATTTAGACCAGAACTGTGAGGTTTGAGCTCATAAACTGTAGCTAATGCCTACGACGCTTCGAGGTGTTAACCACACATCTTCTCTGTATCAGTAAATGAAAGAAAAAACACTGTTTCTGAGCAGAACTGAAAAGAATAAAGTCCGGGCACTCGTTTTGCTGATTGTCATATTTGATGTGTGCGCTGCAATTCAAGATTACAGAATCAAAAGGTGCTGCATGTTTATGCACTGGGGTGAGACTGGAAAAGCCCTCTGTAAATAAAGTTTTTGCAAAGTTATTGCAAAGCTATGAAGGAAAGATGGCGAAAGTGCTGACTGTGCATCGTAGTAAGCTCGTCAGTATTAGGTAAGAAACGAGGACGAGACTCGATATTTCGCAAAAGTTGAAAAGTTCTTGTGTTGCCAAACCGAAGGCGATGAGGGAATCCCACCTAAGATGTAGCCGCTGTGATGTCACCAGCCTGTCGCTCAACTCTGAATTTACAGCATTAACGTTTTGGATGCCGTAATGTTGGATTTTTGCTAACGTGATCATATTTAGATATGAGGGTGCTAAGGTGCAAGTCATGTGAAAAACTGTCTTTCTTAACACAACAGTGGACGTCCCAGCAAATTCGCCGCAAAGTCAGACTCTGCAATGTTCAGAGAAACTGCAACAAACAACCCCAAACTCTGCAGGCCTCAGCGAGCATGCTGAATATCAGGGGTCCCCAATCTCAGTCCACGAGGGCCGGTGTCCCTGCAGGTTTTAGATGTGTCCTTGATCCATCACAGCTGATTTAAATGGATAAATTACCTTCTCAACATGTCTTGAAGTTCTCCAGAGGCCTGGTAATGAGCTAATCATGTGATTCAGGTGTGTTGACCCAGGGTGAGATCTAAAACCTGAAGGGACACCGGCCCTCGTGGACTGAGATTGGGGACCCCTGCTGAATGTTAACGTTCATGACCGTCCAATTAGGGGTGGGGAACTCCAGGCTTCAAGGGCCGGTGTCCTGCAGGTTTTAGATCTCACCCTGGGTCAACACACTTGAATCACATGATTGGCTCATTACCAGGCCTGTGGAGAACTTCAAGACATGCTGAGGAGGTCATTTAGCCATTTGAATCAGCTGTGATGGATCAAGAAAACATCTAAAACCTGCAGGACATCGTCCTTTGAGGCCTGGATTTCCACACCGGTGGATTAGAAGAAAGCTTGTTTAGAAGAGCTAAACATAACAGTGCGGCTCAGGTTTGCAAAGCTGCATCTGAGCACAGTTCAGGCTGTGGCAGCTGTCTTGAATATTTTTCCACTTGTGAATAATTTTCTTCACTGTAGAACGATCGACTTCTAATGGTTTGGGAAAGGACTTCAGTAACCTTCCCAGACGGAAACAGCTGCTGCTCCTCAGCATTGTGATAACACACATCTGAGCGCTCCAAACATGCAAACCACAAAAACATCTGCTTCTACAGAGGCGTTCACACATGTTTATAATCAGTTAATCAAGTTCATTTGATTAGCAGCACCGGGCTGATTCTTATCTTGTTGATTCCTCCGGAAACATTAATGATGTGCTCAGTGTTTTGCACGACTGCTTCTGATGCACAAAACCTTAGAATGTAAAGAGGCTGTACTTTCTTTTTACCACGACTCTATTTGTTGGTCTTCATTAATGGTGATTTATTGTGTAAAGACATTATAAGATAAAAAAAAACAAAAAAACCCAGAAATACACCAATCAGCTGAGCCCTTCCTCTGCTGCATACACGAGCGCTCTGTGATGCTGGGGAGATATTATGAAGTAACTCCCCTTCCACATAATAATATTTTCCATATCCCCACCACTGTGGGATGATAGGGGAATTTGTTGACCTTACATTTATCAGGAGGCACGTGTTTAATAAGGCCGTGATGTCTACGTGTCACGAACTGTTGTGTTTGTGTAGTAATACCAAATCTAACAACTATAAATCTCACACGGACACACCGCCCCTGAGTTAAAGACTAAACTAGTGCTGAAACTAATCAGCTAAACTGAAACTGAACAACAATTTAAAAAAAAAAAAAAAACTTTCCCAAAATGAAAACTTCCCCCCCCCCAAAGAATAACTCAAAGAATTAGGGTAAAATAACGCTTACATACTGCTCAAAGTTTATGGTTTGGGTCAACTTTCTAGACTGCAAGTGTCTAGAGAATCATTTATAGTGTATACATAGCCTGAAATTAATAAATGAACAATTGATCCTGATTAATGTTTCAGAGCGCAGGAATAGTTCATGTTCACATGAGAGCATGTCCTGTTTTTCATCATAAATATGAATATTAATTCACAGAGCACAAAACATGCTTATTGTCGGCCAGTCTGTGGCAGGAAACTTTATGTGGGTTTATGTGTGGGTTCCCACTCTCACTGAAATGGCATATCAAGCACATTTATGATCTTATGACTTCCCCCAACTCCCTTTCGTTATCTATTAACTCAGAATAAAGTGATTTTAATTTGTCAGAGGTTCAATTTTTTTATTATGGGGACTTAAGCTTGCAGTTGTAAATGTAATGTATTTGCTTTTATATTGCGCTTTCCTAGTTTTACTGCCCACTTAGACTCCCTCCCAGTTTCAAGTTACCTGTAACTTAACATGCTTGTTTCTGGGTTGTGGGAGGAAACTGGAGGAAACCCACTTCAGGTACTCTGAAGTGGTTCAAACATCCACACAGAAACTCTCCTGCCAGGATTGGAACCAGAATCCTTGAGCTGATCGTATGAACCACTGTAGCACTCTGCTGCCCTATTTCTAACTCAGCAACCATCTCTCAAGGTGCCCTTTGACCCCTGTATGTTCTGTTCCTTATGTGCTCATGTCCAAGTGTCATCATTCCCGAAAGTTCTCTAAAACCACCATCATGCCTCAATTTACAGAAAATTGTGCCAGCTATATAACAGTATTAAACTTTTTTCTTTTTCTTTTTTTTTTTTTAATTGTGCATTTTGGGCCACTTTATAAAAATTAATTAAATTTCAGGCTGAAAAATGATATTTAAATTATTTTTGCTGCTGTCACATTTGACCAAAAGAGCATGTAAGGGTCAAATTTAGGGATTGAATTTAAACCTATAAGTCAAACTTTTACTATACGCTTGTTAAAAAGAAACGACTGAAGCCTGATCTTAAGAGTAGAGAGGATGATAATACAATACAGTCAGATCTTTAAAATATGATAACTCTGGCAAATGCATTTGAAGTCTAATGCAGAAGCAAGTGGCGATTATTTCCCTCCGGTTATTTACCAGCTGAGCGAAGAGCTGATACGGTTGTGTAGAGCGCTCTCTGCTGGTGGAGTTGGAGGATTGCACTTAAATAATTTGGCCCAATATTGAAGGAGTATTTTCATTCCATAATTTGGATTATATATAGTAGGATAATCCTGGAAATGTATCCACATGCTGTTATTGATATTACATCTAATTTATTGTCTACGTTTTCAAGCAAATCGACCAATGAAAGCTCTGAAGTTCTGAAAATGTTGGACCAGAAGATAAAAACATCAAATGTTGTGATCTGTTGAGCTTTGAGGAGACCACGGATCGGACTAGAGGTGTAGAGTTGCTCGTGTTTTGCTAAAAAGTGACTGCCAGTTTTTCCTCTTATGACTCTGCATGAGCAGGTGTTCTAGTAGCTGCATTTTCAATACAGAAGAGACTTTGCAGCAGATTATAGAGTCAGTATAAAAACATTTAAACCATTCTAGTAACGATGCTATGAACTGCTGTAACTTTACAGCTGTGGTTCATGTAGTTTCAGTGAGGTAGACCTTAACAAATGTCTAAGATTTGGTGAAAAATACTAATAACAGAAAACGGACGGCTCTTTCTGTTAAGCATCCTTGTGACTCTGTTTTATTATATTATATATATCATATTATATCATATTAAGATAATGAAAAACACAACGACAAACTCGGGTTAGCTTTTTATTGTTTAGAAGTCATCTTTTAAAAGAAATATACAAAAAAAATAAAGAATCATTGTAACTATTGTGTGTTTGGAAATAAATTTCCAACTCAATCTCTACAAATTTAGGTTACACTAGTTTCGTTATAATAGAAGAATTTGCTAAAAGAAAAAAACAAAAGCACAGGGAGGCGAGTTGTGTGCATAGCTTATGACAAACCTCCAAACAGAACCAAAACCATATAAATAAAGGCTTTAAACTAAATCAAGAGGCTCTGGTGACCCTAAACTCTGACTAAAGTGGTTCATCCCCAAATGTGAGAATAACTAACTGTGTGATTAATAAACTATAATAAAATCTATAATGAGCATAATGTGAAGCAGAACAGGAAAAAAGATAACAAGTTCACTGATAAAGAGTCTTAAAATCTTACCTTTTAAAATAGTAAACATGGAGAGCAATTTGTTGTTTTTCTCGGTTTCATTTTACTATAAATTCTTAAACCTCTGCAGCTACGGCGTCTCTAAACAGCTTCTCAGAGCCCATCAGGACGCCTTTACAAACTCCAAACCTAAACACTAAAAATGATTTCTTATCAGTAATTTAATCTAAAACTGTTGAGTCTCTAATCTTTAAAATACAATAAGGGGCGAACAAATTATTTAAAGACAACAAACAAACAAACAAACAAACAAAAAAGGCCGGTTTAACTGTCCTGCTCTTCTTCACACAAAAAAAATGTTTTTTCACATTCCTGTTAATCAGATAAACAAAAATCTATTTTACTTTTGAGTAACTGAAAGCTCTCTTAAAGAAACTGGTTAAAATGTATATAAAAGAGCACAACACTGAAAAGATAAGATCCTTTATCACTGTCTGAATTTCTCCAGGCTGGTTATCTATGAGAAATCTATGTATTTCCATTATATTTTTACACATTTAATAAAGAAAAATATATTTTATTCTTCAGCAAAATGACCTGTTTTAACTCAGCCATGAGTTTAGTAAACATACAAGGCACAACTTTTATGTAATTCACAGCATTATCAGCTTTTTTGATTGTTTTACAAAAGAAAAATAAGATTTTAAGACTCTTTCTTTAGGATAGAAATCTATTTTCCATCCTGAGGTGGAAAACTTTGTAGAGCAGCTGAAACCTTTCTTTAAAAGAAGCTTAAACCAGCCCGCTGGTTGGCAACACAGAAACTCTGCTGATCTGCTGTTAAACAAAGCACCCTGCAAAGCCCTGTCCCTCCACCAGGGGGCGACAGAGGCTTTCGCAGCAAAAGGCCATCGCTAGTTTACTGCATGGAGCTAGTGTTTTTCTGAGGAGAGAATTAACTAACTGATCGTCGATGTGAGTGAGCAAAAGTGCAGCTTGAAACTTAAGCATGCTGAAGTGAGTAACCCCTCAAACAAACAAACAAACAAACAAACAAACAAACAAACAAACAAACAGTTCTCTCTTCACCAGCACTCGGACTTAACAGTTTTCATCGTGCTTTAGGGTCATTTAAGAGAAACTTTACAGGCACAGAGTGGTTGTAGTGATTTCCCTGATCAACAGGAGACGACTTCAAACTAAAACAAAAAGTTTCTGCTCAGTGTTGTTTTTTTTTTAAACATCTGGATCACATTCAGTGTTGATTTGGTGCCTTCAATGGGAGATCAGATGCTTCAGAATTGGGCACTTTTTAATCATTTATGCGCAGAGAGTTATCCTGCTTGGCTGCTGAGCCTCAGATGAGGACTTCTGGAGATGGAAACCTTTCCATAATTCTTTTTTAACAAAGGCGCCCTTCCCTGCCCTTCTTACTGCGATCTGAGAGGTATTTAAAGGCAGCAGTACGTATTTTCATGCATGTAGTACATGAAAGTTTTCAGTACGTACTGCATCCAGTTAGTGTTCAATCGATTACTGCCATCTTAAACGTGCATTTTAAAGGAATTTTGGCAGCTCTGAAGCTAAAAACACGTTGGATTAGTGTATATTTATTACAAAGCTTAATAATCAGCTCAATGCTTGAAATATTTTTTAATCTATAAAACCTGCTGTTACTGTGTCACAGCAGCAGCTCAGGAGAAACGTTTTTGTGCATTTTTGCCGCCTTTTAAACGTCACAGAAACAGCTTAACGGAGCGCAGCACGAGCGCTGCCACAAACTTCACATAAAGTGCACACTGATGAGGTTTTCCTCTCACGGCGTCAGACCAGCTGAAGCTCCAGGAAAAAAAAAAAAAAAAAAGTCAAGCTGATGCACGTGCTGGTCCACGTGTCGCCTCTCCTGCTGCTCGGTTTAATGGCTCTCGATCACCACGGGCTCGTAGCCACCAGCAGGCACCCTGCAGGGATCCAAACACAGAATCAGAGTTAGCAATAGCAAGCAGAATTCAGTTTCAGAGTTTACCGTTTCTCCACATTAAACAGTGAAAACAGACATGAAAACGGATTAAAAAAGAAAGTGGACTATAGGACTGAACTGTGCATGTTTCACATTCAGATGCATGATATATGCTTCTAAATGGAGAACGGATGTGCTGGTTCACACTAGCAGTAATTTAGCCCTCGTCTTATACTTGCACTTTATGATTTCATGTTTCTATGATCCATGTTTGACCTCCTCTCTCTCTGGTCCAACCGTAATGCTGATTCTGTTCTTGCGAGTTATTAAAAACTTTTATCTTCATAATAATCAGTTTTGTTGAAAAAAGCAAAAAACCCTCCTAAAAATAATTGAGGGAACACTGGATCATCACAGTAAAACCACTTCAGGGAAATCAATCTACATAGTCAGGAAGCATAAACCACAGTGAATCCATTTCTCTCTCCTCATCCCTCCTCACTGATTGTTCTATAGTTTTGCTTTTTGTTAGTGTGCTTATCACCTCATCACAGCTTGAGACAGGACCTGCAGCCCCGAGAAGGTTTGCTCCATCAAAGCACAGTTTCAAAAGTATTACGGCGATACTAGGAGAGGGGCTGTTACACAAGAAGAGCTGGCAACGCCATCGACCCAGTAGTAGAACTGCTATCTGCTCCTTTGTGCAACGAGGAGCTGGGGGAGCCAGAGCCCTACAGAAGGACCTCCAGTGAGTGACTCATGCATGTTTCTAAGCAGACTGTCATAATCAGACTTCATGAGGAGTCGAGCATCCTCTAGTGGGACCTGAGCTCAGAACAGCACAGTGTACTATAACTGGAAGTTATCATTTTCATACAGCAGCTGAAAAGGACTCACAATAGTTTATGCTTCTCGACTGGACAGACCGATTTACCTGACATTTAACTGAATGAGTTCTAGTGCTCCATAACTGCTGTGAATTACAGCCATAACTCTTAGAAAAAGGAAGAAGCCACCAAATCATAGGAGCCTATTTGAGCTTCTCATAAGAGGGAGAGTGACATAGAGATGGTGAAACAAGGGGAAGAGGATGACAGGGCTTTAAATTCATATTTCAAAGTTGGGTCCTCAGAGGGAGATTTACGGTATGTAAATTATTACATTGCTGTGATTTTCCAGTATTTTTGGAAACCGACTAGACTTCATGCAGCTCCTGCACTCCAATACTGAAACTCAAGTTCTGGGAAGTGAGAAATAAACCAAAAACAAAGACAGCAGAGCTCCTCACCTATTTCCAAGCCTGATGCCGCTGAGCGCCGTGGTTCCGTCTCTGCTGACGAACAGGCGCAGGTTGCTGTCTGAAAGTCCAGAAACACAGAAACTGAGTTAAGGCCAGCTGATGGAAACCAGAAGGCACAGCGAAGAGAAGGTGACGGAGCACAGAGTCGGAAAACTGAAGAAGCGCTCGGGCCAAAGATGGTGCAGCAGCTGCCTTTTTCTGCTTTTAGGCATCAATGAGCTGCTGTCAAATTAACTGTGAGAGCTTCATATGAAGAGATTCACTGTAAACAAATGAGGCCTTACTGAAGAGTTACAGTCTGCAGCTACGGCTGGTGATGACATCATTTCCCACAAATTCACATCAGCTTTACACAGACTACAAATTGCCGGTAAAGCGTGAATCTGCGTTCAGCACCCAGTAAACTTTTTGAAAACACTCCGGAAATAAGTAAACTGTATATTCTCTGAAAAATTATTGTACTAAGCAGCATGTTTTTGATCTTTTCTTTTTTGTACCTTCAGTGTGGCTGATGTCTGCAAAGTTCTGGCTTTGGACGATTTTCTCCACGATGTCGTCGGCATCCATGCGAGTGTCGTTCACCCAGGAGGGGTGACTCTCCACCGAGTCCTGCTTCCTCCTGAAACACAGTGAAGAATGAAGATTGTGTAGTTTGAACAGAACTAGGCTACCAATCACACGACCAAGCGTACTCTGTGTGTACCTCGGAGGCCTATTTGGGGGTAAAACTGGTCGTGGGGGTCGAGGGGGTCTCTCCGGACGTCCAGCGTCCTTGTCCCCATCTGGGGGGGTGTCAACCGTGAAGCACAAGCCCCCGGAGGTGCTGCTTCCTGTCGAGGTATTTCTGCGATGCGTGAGGTCCGACAGGCTGGAGGAACAGGAGTGCTCCGTGCTGTATCCTGCAGAAGGCCGTGAGGACATCAGTGTCAGATGTTAAACAGCAGCGGTGTTAAAATCATGCTCACCCCGTCATGGATGAAACATCCGTGTGAGACCTGAGATTGTGTACCTGAGATTTTGCTGTGCTGGCTGGCATAGCTGGAGTTACGAGAGTGACCAGACTGGAAAGCTTCTGCGGGAACCGACGGATTCACCTCAGATTCCTCCAGGAGTCCTGAAGGTACACAAAAAAGAAAAAAGCACCACTGTTACCACCTCATACGTGATAATAATTGGTAAAAATGTCTGTAAAGAGCAGACATAATGCAGTCTTTTCACTTTCGCAGCAGAAATCTAACCATCTATATATTTACGGCTTGTGGTTGAGGATCTGCACGTTTTCTTTGCATGGAAAAGGTTAACAAACTCAGCCTTCCAAGTCTGAAACGAAAACAGGTTTCTTTTTTTTTTAGTTTAATTCAAACCTAAAATCCTAAACGCAGTCGGCTAGTTTTCCCATACAAAGAAAATTAACTCTGGGAATTTCTGGCTCCAAGCAAAACATCTGGCTGAGATTTAGGAAAGTTGGGCCGAGATCTAAAAGATTGGAGTCCAATTTCAAGAACACATTATCTGATCTTTCATACTTTTCTTAATCTCATTTGTTTTAGACATTACTTCAGTGGGATTTATCCTTCAGTCTGACAGTTTGACAGATGCCACCGAGTTCAGGAGCTGTTTGGCTTTAACATTCGTGGATGGTTATGATGAAGAGAAATCTGTCCGTGGATTCAACTCAAATCTCTTCTGACTTAAACTTCACTGCACCTGGAAAACAGCTGTGGGGGTGTAAAACCATTTTATTGATTCAGAATCCAAAGAAAATCTGCTCATCAAATTCAAATCCTTCCAAATATCTCCCTAAAACTCAAGATAAACAGTAAAGTACACCTTTCACCTTCCAAGTATAATATACTGATCATTTACATATTACCAGTCTCTTCCTCTCAGACATATTGTGCTTTTCCTTATTTTTCTGTCATACTAAACCTGTTAAAATGATGAAAGGTCATATAAAACATGCCCAAGGTTTAGGCTTCAGCCTGCTAGAGATGCTCAGTTTCAGTCCTATTTCTTCGTAGCAAACGTCGTGTACCTGAGCTGATGATGGAAGGCCGATGTTTGGAGCCTCGGCCCAGGGAAACCCCTCCCGGCGGTCCAGGCTCAGCAGTGCCCTCCCCCTTGCAGTCCAGCTGCAGGGTGTGCTCCTGTCCTGGGATGGAGATGGACTTTGCTGTGCTTTGAGGTCTGCAGGGTAAAAAAAAAAAAAAAAAAAAAAAAGAGAAAAGATACACAGCTTATCAGCCTGGGACAGACTAAATGGGGACAGAGGTGCAGTTCTGCTTAGCTTGGCACGCTCAGATAAGATTTGTTTTATTGAGGGAGGAAAAACTGAGTCATTTTGGCAACAAAGGACAGAACGGCACAAAGTTATAAGCACTAAGGAATCTGGTTGAAATGAACTTTAAATACCAGTAACATATTAAATACCAGTGGATTGCGCAAAAGGTTTTACTGCTATGCAATACTGTAGAAAATATTGTTTGTTAAGCTGGAAATGTATAGTCTGTCTGTTTGTTTTTTTACTTTCACAAATATTACATAAAGAAAAAATAAACAGAAATCTTCAAGACTTCCAAAGAGTAACTAAAATCCCCCACAATAAAAAACACTTTAAAAACTATTATCTGTGGTCTGGAGTATGTTCGCCTTCACAGTAAAAGTTGTGCCTTATCACGGCAACCACAATGTTTCCAAAGGTGCAGCTTTTATTTTGGTGGCAAGCGTTCCCGTTTCCAGTTTGTGCCACTCTTTTCACAGTGTCACTACTACTGCCCAGCAAGTAGTGTTTGCAGACAAGTCATCATCTTCCATGCAAACTGCAGGCAACTACGTAAATCTGACACCAGTCAAACCAATCGCAAGGTTTTTGCTGCAGCACATTTTTCCCTAGCAACCTAGAGGATGCCTGAGCACAGCTAATCACATATTTATTTATCAGTTTTAATCATTAGCACATCTTTTGAGAATTCATTGTGACATCTTACATCTCACACTGAGGATTACTCACGTTTTAAAGCACGGATCTCCTGACAGGAGGGTCATCCCAATGATCACCTTTTGGGGAAAAAATTAAAAGAGCATTTTTTTTAAAACTCTGTCATTTGAAGGACATCTCAAACAGGAAATTGATTTCAGACAATGAAACAAACAAACAAACAAACAAAAAAAGTACTTTAAAGCCCTAACTAAAGAATAATCTACTTTTGTCACAAGATTCATCATGGATTCATTCATCAGATTCATCATGGCCACACACATCCACTCAGGGTAAACAAACCTTTTCATGACACTTTTCAATACCTTTAAATCTTTCATCTAAGTTTCTGATAATCATTACTACCAGTTCACGATGGATAATATGGATAAATCCACAACGCAACAGGAGATGCCGAAACCTCACAGAGGCAAGACGACATCATCCACCGACACCAGCGACCTGACAACAGATATCGAAGTTAGTGTTCTTGCATCGATAAATAAAAAACTGGACTTACTTGGAGCACTACATAACAAAATAAAAAAAAACTCCTATCAAGTCTTAAATGCATGCATAACTACATCGAAAAATTCAAGAAAACAAAACCATGAAGGAAACGATATCGAACATCCAAACAAGCAGCATGCCTGACAAAACCAGCTTCTCTGGCATTACTCAGCTGAAACTACAAGACTTCGAGTTATACCTACTCACAACCTAAATATGAAAACTTCCAGATTAGCCCTTTATCCACAGTTAAAATGAAGATGCTTCCACAACTTAATTACCTGTTTTAATTGCTTCCAATTACCTTACTTAAATCCATCATTAAATCTAAATCAAACTTAATAACTCACTGGAACCACCTAAATGATCAGATAAATTAATAAAAATAATTAATACAAGGAAAAAACTCATATTCAGACTAAGTTAATATGTACCTCAGAAACGACAACAGTAATTTCACCGGGAAAAAGACTTTGCCTTCTCTCTACCACCTCAGACCTCTGAATTAAAACATGCATGAATATATTTTACCCAACCAGGAACACAAACCTACAACTTATACAGTATAAAGTTATTCACACATCACTCAAAGGAAAATGGTTCAAATGGTTTTGTCGATACAGGCGCTTGTTAACTAAGGCGGTGTGAAAATAATTATCGGCGCTACCCAAACTGTACACATGTAAACCTTTTCATTCCACTGTTGTAACGTAACCTAAAGCTGGCAGATTTTATTTTATTTCACTTGTTCAACACATTGTTATCTTTACTTCATTTTTCATTTTCCTTTCAGTTTCAAAGTGAAGTCAGACCCTAACCCAGTGGCTGAAACCTCCCAAAAATGTCCATCTTACGCTCATGCCGAGATGTAACGTGACTAAACTGAAAAGACCGTTTTCTTAAGAAGTAATGAGCATCAACTGGAAAAGCCTGGAGTAGTTCCCATTAATCCCATCTGTGACGTGTGAGTCACAAACATCTGCGCAACACAAAGTCTTCCAGAAACTCGAGATGACAAAAAGACTCGTGACTGTTTTGCTTCACAGAGTGGTTTGTGTTCATGGTCACTGGGTGGCGCCATAGAGTTCCTGAACTTCCCAGCCTCCATCATCCACAAAGGCAATGAAGTGACTCAGCTTCATCGTAAGCTGTGCTCATTTCCATTGTGTTTATACAAAAACAATTTCAATTAAAAAGAGAAACATTTCTTGAAGCCTAAAACGACGCCTGTTTTTTTAAATTTATTTTTTTGTCAAGGACACTAAACAGTTATTGAAGAAAAAGAAAAAAAACGCATAAAAACCTAATAATTTCACAGATTGAGAAATAAATTCTATTTTCTTGGTACACTTTAGGACCCTTAGTACCAACTGAGCATCATTTTAACCTCCCTGAGTATTTTTGCTGATCGTGTCCATCCCCCTTATGACCACTGCATGATCGCCTCAAATTGGTTTCTTGAACACACCAGTGAGCTCACTGAACCCAAATGGCCTTCAGATCTCAATAGAACACCTTTATAATGTGTTATAACACAGGATTTACATCTTGGATGTGCAGCTGACAAATCTGCAGCAGCTGTGTGATGCTGTCATGTCAACATGGACCAAAAGCTTTGGGGAATTTTTCCAGCACACTGTTGAATTAAGGCTGTTAAGGATGTCCAACCAGGTACCAGCTAGTCTCCTTTTAATGCAGCAGGTTTTTTTGAGTATTTCAGCACCACACTATCATCATAAAACACAAACACAATGAAGGTGAAAAAGACATGACACTGGTCCTGGAAGGAGGCAGATCTCATCACAACTCAGCTTTAAATAAAAGAGGGGACAACTTCCTCCTCATTCTCTGTCTGTCCAGTCTGTTCACTTCTTAATAAACATCCATTATTCCTATTTCAGTGCTCATCTCCTTGCCTTCAGTATGGAGTTGTCCTGCCGTGTGTTCTTCGTGTCATATCCCTCCAGCAGACAGCAGCGCACGGTGGAGCCCGAACCTGCGAACTCCGCCATGTTGAGGTCTGTGAAGCCCAGCTGGGCGTGAAGAGAAGTTTGAACAGAGTTAATTCAAGCTGCTCTAATGGAGGCCTTCCCCGGTCTTTATTTTTGGCACACGTTCGAGGTAAAGCAGATTTCTGAGACACCCATCATTTAGCAAGCCAAGTAATTTTACGCAGTTATCGTCACAAGCGTTTGAAGTGTGAAGCAGATGACAGAGTGCAAAAACCACAAGTCAGTCTTTACAGACATCAACCCAGACTGAGAGTGAAACCTGCATTTTGAAAGTTGTTTTAAGTATCCTTTTTTTTTATTGTACTGATGTTACATAGTTTCATAACATCAGTTTATCTTATCAGTTTTAGTTTGATTAATCTTCACTTTCACTGGTTCTCTGTTGTAGAAACTACAGTCTTTCTTTTAAATGTCCTCTGCAGACTTTAAACATCCATTTCTTTCCTTTATAATTATCTGTCAAACCACTTCAAAGCCCAACTGTTTCAGATGTCTTACTCCTTTTTAGGATGGCAGATTTACAACAGATAAACATTAAACATTTAGGTTAAAAGCAATCCACTTGTTGCATGGTCATAAACATTAGTAAATAAGTGTGGCACTTTCTGTTTATGCTACTCGACAGATGAGTTTTTCTTTTATATATTTAATGTTCAGTGGTTAATTCTCATTAAATATGACCAATTTTTGAGGTCCTCGTGAGCCAAACACTGCTTAAGAGCTTCGTTTCTGACGTGTTTTTCTACTCTTGGCCTTATGATATCATGGAGAGGGGATATCCCTAATATGGTCATCTTAAGAGCACAGAAGCCCCATCCACCTGCACATTATTCCTTTTGCGTGCGCAAAGCAGTTCATCAGAAAAAAGTTGCATGAAAGTGAGAGGATTTAATAGGTCTGTTTAATCTGGTATGAGATAAGGATTATTTTGAACTTGAAATCATGCAAAGCTACTCTAGTAGAGTGCAAGAATGGAAATAAGGACCTGGAAATGAGCTGAACAAGACATGGACTGACATTTATAGTGTTTTTCTAATCTTACTGACCACTCAAAGCACCTTAGACTACAAACCACCTTCATTCACAGCTTTATGGTAAACTCTTTAAGCAGCCTACCTCTCATCCAATTTGCAACCACCAATTCGGGAGCAAATATTCGCAGATTTCCGACATTACTACATTCACGTGAGCACAACATTGAGCCATAAGATTAAAACCATGAAATCTTTATAAACTGATTTATAAAATAATCTTTATTGGTTATGATTTGCTTCCACCAGCTATCAAACCACACAATTTAACATTTCCATCTCAGGATCTTATTTTTCTTATGTACAGCAGCCCTGTTTACAAGCCATAAGGCAGATCCTTTAATCCCTTTTAATACTCCTTCAATAATCCTGCTTTTTTCACCCTAAACCACTTGATGAAAGACCTCTTCCTCCACTTCTTATCAGTAAATGTTTTAATGCTGATGAACTGGTTGTAGATGTCAATCAGGGATTTAAAGACAGCCACTGATCACACTGATAAGAAAGGGTCTGCATGACCTTTATCTCAAAATCAGACCACAGAGCTTTTTGCCAGGTGGAAACGATGTTATTTTTATTTTATTTTTATAGCCCTCTCAAGAAAAGTGTTCCCAGATTCTTTGGGGTAGGTCCTGTTTTCTTAGGTGTGTGTTTAAGGAAGCCATCTTCTAAGGAGGGAAGCGAGGTATATTTAACTGAAGGAAATCTAAATCAAGAACGAGGCGAATGCAGAGGAAACGGTTCCTGTCGGGCAGCAACGTCCAGGGATCAACAAAAGTTTATGTGCACGAGGGGGTTTGACCTTGGAGTTACATTTACGAGACGCTACTCATTTGTTCGGAGCTTTTACGGTTACAGTTACGGTTAAGGATAGGAAGACGCTAACAGGATGTTTCTGCAGATTCTGGGCAAATGTGATGGGAATATGATTAATTTTCATGTCCGGCTGATGGAATGCTGGCCAAACACTTCAGGGAATGCTAATATTTACATGAAACCGCTCATCTGTAACTGTATGTGTTTATGAATGTGAGAGGTGAGGAGCTCTTACCTTAGTGTACGCCTTTCCTCCTTTGAGTTCCTGCAGGGAAAACAGGAAGACTGTAATGAACTGAATGATTCAACTTCATATTACAGCATCCTTCTGATTACAGGGCTCCTAAAAGATGGATGAAATTAAAGGCTGAGGGCACACACATGGCTCCGGTGTAGCTCAGTGAGCCGCTGAGGTGGCATTCACATGGGAGAATTAGCATCAAGCCTGCATTTCTGTGGCGGTGGCTACACCAGCTACACTGAAAAGACTTAAGGTTTAATGTTTAAAAGACTTAACATATATCACAAATCAGAAAAGGTCCCTATTTACAAGACTATGGTCTGATGTCTTTTGGTATCATTTTCCATCATTTTCTTAGCAGAAAGAAGAAAAATGATAAGCTCTTGTATATTAAAGCCTACTTAAACAATTTTTAAAAGGAATTACAGAGATTTTCATCAGTCCTAGTGAATTTTTTTGTTTTTTGTTCGGGGTTTTCCATTGGAACAGCAAAACCTCTTTGGTAGGAACCAAAACTTCAGACATAAATGCCATGACATATATGAACGTACCATCCTGGAGGAGACTGACTATGAGCCAAATTTTCTGAACAGGGAAAATAGGATGCAAGTCCAATCCTCAGAGCTCATAGATGTGGTTACTTTTACTAGTGATTAACAAAATTTGCGCTTTTTTCTAAACACAGGCACACTCAGTTCATTTGAATATCAAGCACAAAAAATAAAACCTGTTTTTTTGTTTTTATCTGTGTTAATTATCAGCACAATTAGCAGTAAATTGCATGTTGCAAATGTTAGAAAATAAATTTGCATGCTTGATTTCAACATTTTCCTCCCTACACTTGGAACTCCCAGATATACACATGCAAAATGGTCAGTTGCAAAAAATCTCTACACAATTCTTATAAACAATTTTATCAGTACAGTGTAAATACCAAAATTACTGTTTTTAATGCCAAAACCCAGTTTGCACTGGTACATCACCAACTGGCCCTCTCTGTGCAGGTACCATCTCAGGCTGTAGTTTTAATTTAAATAAATAAATAAATAAATAATTAAATCCGCCAGGAGGGGTTAGAGGGGTTGCTTTTAAGGAGTTGCCCTGTTGCTGCTTCTCCAGCAAACCTGTTGTCTACATCCTCTGCACCAAACCAGCTGAAATGGATTCATAATAGTTTACAGTTGTGAAAACAAGTTTTTATCAGTTGCGTGAAATTGCCAAAGCTAAGCCTTATCTTCCTCCAAGAGACCTAGAAACACTTATCCATGCCTCCATCACCTCTAGACTGGAATACTGCAATTCTCTCTAATTAGGTCTTCAACACTCATCTCTTCATAGCTTGCAGTTCGTCCAAAATGCCGCTGCACGTCTTTTAACAGGTGTTAAAATGTATGAACACATCACTCCAGTTTTAGCAAATTTACACTGGCTCCCTGTAAAATATCGTATTGACTTTAAGATTCTTTTACTTACTTTTAAAGTTTTAAATAATATGGCGCCTAGTTTTTGTTTTGTTTTTTTGTTTTTTTAAACAAACTCCTCCACATGTATGACCCCAAAAGAGCACTGAGATCATCTCGCCAGATGCTCTTAGCACAACCAAGGTCTCGATTGAAGCATAGAGATCGGGCCTTCGCAATAGCAGCACCCAGACTCTGGAATAATCTGCCAGAGGAGATTCGTACTTCAGAGTCTATTCAGTCTTTTAAATCGAGTCTTAAAACTCAATTTTTTACTTTGGCTTTAAATTCGAGTTCAGTATGAGCACCATCAGGCCTGTTTTATGTTTTTATTGTTAATTCACCGTCTTCTTATTTATCTGTATTCGTTTCTCTATTGTTTTCTCTTGTTTTTAACCAACAGTGAAGCACTTTGGTCAACTCTGTTGTTTTTAAATGTGCTATACAAATACATTTTGAATTGAATTATTTCTAACTGGACAGGCTGATCTCCCTGAAGTTTAACTGACTTTGTGTTTTGCTGCGATCGAGTGTTCCCTTCATCTTTTTGAGCAGCTTAGGAACCCAAAGTTTGTCCCCAGAGCTGACGAGGCCACTTTGACAGGCGTACCTTCCTGACTGACACCCTGCAGACAGACGGGTCCAGAACTCCAGTGTGGGGGTTGGCGCTCATTTTGGACACAAAGGTAAACCTCTTCCTCCAGCGCACACAGTGATTGTGAACCTCCTCTCTGTAAGACAGAAAAACAGGCTTCATTACATTTTGCAGTGCCTTTGCATTTCTTCATACTCCTCACTTGAAAACGATGCCAGATTGCACAAACATAAAGTCTGTATTTATACACAGACCTAAATTAAAAGCAGAATATTTTCCCAATCTCAATTTAAGGTCAAAACAAACATCGCTATATTCTCTGCCTTCAGAACGTCACATTTTTTCCAGTCCTGTCATACCCGTCTCACAGCCTCATGACCAGTGTGTCCACTGAGGATCAGATTCATCAGAGCTGTGCTGAGAAAGCATGTCATGATCCAGTTTTTCCAAAACTAACTGCAGGGCAGAGTCGGCTCCCAGGGCTTCTGACACCGATTACAATTTTTCATTTCAAAAACGTTTACGATTGTCTCGGCCTCTCACACAAACCCCACATCGTCGACCTACAATGTTGATTTTCCCACCTGTCTGACTGACAAGAAACCCATCAAGGAAGTGGTTTACAATGGTGACGAGACTTCTGTGAAAACCCAGACTGGCTTGTGAAAAACCTTTAAGTACCCATGCATCCTGGTTAACGTGTGGGAACAGAACAATAGGTGTAAAAACAGACCGGCTCAGTGATCTGTTTGTTCCTGAAAACAAATTCCTGAGAAGTGTCCTAGAGACGCCACAACAGCAGCTGATGGGAAAATGTGCATCCAGATCTTTGGAGTTCGTAATCAAATAAAGCACTTGATGTGTAACGTGTTGGTAAGATGAAATTCCCATCAAAATTGGATTTTCTGCAGTCCGGTGTGACATCAAGATCTTTTTTGTTTCTATTTTAGAGCTCATGTTTTATTTATTTCTAATAAATATAAAACATAAGCTGTTAAAATAAGCAAGCGCATTTTAGCATACCACTATTGTAGCTAATGGTAATGTCATTAGCCTTCCTGGTATTTGGACATTGCAGCAGGATCTTTTAAGCATGTGGAAATGTTCGTGGAAATCTATCCAATTTAAGTGTTTCCCACAGAATCAGATTTTATTTGTGGCATTGGCAGCTTGGACGATGCTTGCATCTGCAAACATTTTAGCTGCAAGATTCAAACAAATCAGCCGATTCTCAAAGTGAACTCAAACTCTGTGGGCTTAGACTGACGCTAGCACTCGTTATTCTTCTCTAGAGTCTCAGTCTCCTCAGTGGAACAGCACAAAAACCAGTTTAACACTTACTGAAGGTTCTGGTTAGCAGGTGGAGTCCAAGACAGAGAAGGTAAAGTACATTTGACCTCAGGACAAGCTTATCTGGGGTCAGGCTAGCCACCAGGAAGTCAGGAAGCACTGGGGCTACTGAACTAACCACCTCCAGCGCCACTGAAATGTAGTCATAAGCGAAGTCTAAAGCAAAGAATAAAAGTTTTAGTTAAAACTCTTATTCAAATTTAGAGTCACTGACTGTCAAAGTTGTATCCATTAGTTGGTTATTTAAAAAAAAATGACTGAAAGCTAACCATTGTGCACCCGCATTCCCAAATGTCAAAGCAATCTCTCCCCATAATGAGCATGTTCTGTAATGTTTGAGCTTCTAGAATAGGAAAATTCCCAGAAATGGTTCTATTTTCAGGAATGACATGGCCATCATTCCCAGTTATTGTGATGCCAGCACAAGAACCACTGAGGAATAAAGCCAAAGTCTTTCTATAAGCAAGTCTCACCACTTGCATCCCTCTCTGGGAAGTTATTTTGATTTTGATTACCAATTTAGCTTCAGTTTCAGTGGCCTCGAGGACACCAACAACACATGTACAGAATCGCCAGTAAATCTTTTATTTATTTATTTTTTTTAATGCTTAAAAAGTTTGCAGATTTTGCCCCAAATAAAAAAAGTTTTGCTTCGGATTTCTTTTTGGGGGCTGTTACAGATTCTTCCACAGGTTTGCTCTCATCATCTTTTGTGTGTCATTTATAACAATTCTTATACATGTACTGAGCAAACAAACAGAATCTCCAGTCCGGCTTTGACAGTCACTAGTCATCTACCGTTATTAAAGCAAACACCCTGAAACATGAGTCAGTGAAGCATTCTGACACAGATGACTGATTTCACATAATACGCCTTTTTTGACATAGTGCCAAACGTTTGAAGCCAGCCCTGAGTTAATGTTTATTAATATAAACACACCATAAGTTACAATAAAGAACTTTAAATATAACCGTGAACATACACTCTGTGGACTTGGAGTTTTTAGAAAAGACACACATTCTGCAGAATGAGCAGGAACATTGTCGGATTACATTTCATGGGTTAAAAAAATTATAATTTTGATCATTTAACCAAGGGTTTGACAACATGAACATTTCTTTGTTCTCCCTCTGTGGGTTTCAATTGTAGTGAAACATCTTTCTGTTAATATTGGGGAGATCACAGTACGATAAAACACTTTATATCATCTGTCATTTTAATTTAACACCTCGTGATAAACTACTAAATCCAGATGTTTCCTAAGCACACATGGAAGTTTCTGCTGTGGAGTGATTATGCTTCTGACTTCAAGTTATTGCTTGTAAATGGGTACCGTCAAGGAAGAACACCCTGTAAAACCTTAGATGACCAACCAGCATTAATTAGCAGAAAGCTAGCTTATATGGCTAAATTGGCCTCTCTGTAAGAAATGTTTTGTTTACTTCCACATTTTGCATGCAATCAAATATGTATTTTAGCTAGGCTTCAATTCAGCCAACTGCTGTACAATGGGATCAGTAGGAAGTAGAATGGCTCTGCTTAAAGCAAGCAGTTTCCTTTAGGTTGAACGTGTCTAAACTTGTAAAACTTTTACGGTAGGTGTTTTCACAGGTTGTCTTTTCTTACCTCCACCAAAAATGAGGTAAGAAAATGTCTTTTTTGTTGATAAACGTCTTTTTTTTTTGGTATTTGAGTTAAAATTTACTGAGATGTGCCAGCAGTGTTTCGTTGCGAGTAGCAGTGTGTTATTTGCACCTAAATATAAATGTTTGGTGCTAAAGGAGAGACATCCAAAAAAAGCCAAAGTCAGGATGTTTCAAGTTGTTCTTAAATCTCTAAAATACTATAGGGCATGCGCATTGTGGGGGGACGAAAACACTACGTAAAGGTTAGTATTTATTATTGTGAAGTTATGAGAATCTACACTTTACTGTGAATCACCATCATCTTGTCAGCCAAACATTTCTGTTAAATACCATCCTGCTGAAAAGCCCCATAATTTGTGTAAATGTTCTGTCAATCAGGAGTGAAATGAGATGAAAAAAAAAGTCATGTTTTTCTCCTTCTAAATGGCAAACAGCTCATTTTGGAAAGTCTGTAACAGCATGCTGAGAAGGAATAGATTAAATGGACAGCCAAATGTTTCTGGAGTCACTTAAACTGCGTGACGCCTCCTTAATCCCACCACATATAAATCACAGACACGGCGGGCTTCGTGATCAGCACTAATGAGCTCAATTTCTATTACAGCTCCTTTGGATTTAAAAGTTAGTGTGACAATACACCAAGTGTTTCCTCACCAATCCCACACAGCACCCTCGAACTGTACAGAGGAACATTTACACTCAAACAACTCCCAGTGACTGCTCAACACAGAAAACCAATACAACAAAAAAGAAAATGAATTAAGCTGCAGGATATTCATGAAACAGTACAAAAGTGACTCGAAAAAGTCTTTATTCCAACACTAAAGTAGCAAAACCAACAGAAGACCAGTGATGTGTGTTTGAAGTATCTTAGTTTTTCCTGTTACACTTTGTAGATGATCCCTACACGCTCAGCTCATCGATTCAACTTCTGAATTACCGAGAATAAGTCTGTGAACACAAGCAGCTTTGCTTCCTTTGCTGGGTGGCTGGGCTCAGCATTAGCGGTAGGATGAGGAGCTCAGATATCCAGAGGGATCTTTAGAGTAGAGCTGCTGCTTCTATGAAACGAAAGGAGCTAGTTGAGGAAGTTTGATGATCTGGTTAGGAGACCAGGCACATCCAACTGGAAGAGACCCTGGGGAAGACCCAGAACCTGCTGGGTTGACATCTGGGTCTACTACCATGGGAACACCTTAGAATCCCCTTGGAGGAACTGGAAAGGCTGAGCGCGAAGAAGGATGTCTGGTATAATCTGCTTAGCCTGCTACCACCGCAACCAGACCTCAGATAAGATAATGGAGATGATGCATAGACAGATGGCTGGACAGGTGGATGGATTGATGGACGAACAAATGGATGTCTGTGTTGTCGTCAATTAGGTTTTTTGCAACATTTCCATTAGGCATAATTAACTCCAGAAAAATCAGTGATTACTTTTCTGAATTTACCCAAAGCGCAGCTACTCTGATGTGCTCTGCTGGTTTGTGAAGTCAAGTTTAAAACTGTCAAGATGAGCTTTCTCGCCATCTTGCCGGATAGATCCAACTGGAAAACCGAATGCTCATTGGCTAAAAACTTGTTAATCACAAATCATTAGCCCGAATAATCCTGTTTTAAAAAATATACTTCACCATCATTTCAAACGAGTGATTGACCACATAAACTCATCAGGTATTTACTAAGGTCTCATATGAAGGCCGTTATTCCCACAGACCTGTACAGGACTGGTCTTTTACCAACAATGGGTATCAGCCCCTGGTGGCCATTAAGAAAAGTGCAGCTTTAAAGCATTTGTGCACGGGATTCACTTTTCAGACCAGAAGCTACGTCCATCTTTTATAGTCCATGCTTAGCAGATGTTTTTGCATCAAACATAACTTACTTTGAAAAAACTTCATAGGGGAGAACAAACATGCCACCTTTAGTCTTCCACTTCTACACTTGGGTCACTTACATGTTAAATTAAAATCAAAAGGATTCATCATGTGTAGCCCATGAATATGCATAATGAATTTGCTTGCACTCTTTAAGGAAACACTACTACACAAATTTATGGAAAACTGGCCTAAAAACATTGCTCTGGACCAGTCAGACAGTCAGATCAGGAGTTCAGTTAAAAATCTTTTTTTTTTACTT